GGATACACAAAACACAAACAAAACAAAACAAAACAAAAGATTCTCCACCCGGCCCTCCTCCGAGGGAGGGAGTGTTGCGGTCACCATCTCCCAATGAGCAGTCCCCTCCATCTGTGGGTCGCCCGTCTCATGGCCTCTTGCACTTGTACTTGTCGCCAGGTTTGGCGGGGGCTTGGACTGGCTTGGCGTCCTGCCTACGCCCAGCTCCACATTGCTTCCTGGTGGAAGGCTGCTGCTGCTGCGTGGGAGCAGGGGAGGACGCAGGGGGCACCCTCGGTGACGATAAGGCTGAGGGGCTGCGGCCAGAGTGGAAGCAGCAGGTTTCCTCCAGCACATGATGTGTTTGATCGCCTCAGTCTGCTTCTGCGCCGCCGAGAACTGCTGGGCAAAGCTCTCGACCGCGTCACTGAAAAGGCCAGTCTGTAAAATGGGAGTATTTAGGAATGGCACCGTATCATGCTCCTTCATATCGGCCAGACACAGCCAGAGATGGCACTCCTGGACCACCAGGGTGGGTATCGCATGACCCAGAGACTGTGCTGTTACCTTCGTCGCTCGGAGCGTGAGGTCCGTCACAGTACGCAGTTCATGTAGAACCGCCAGGTCATGACCAACCTCGTGCAGGTCCCTTTAGGTATTTGGCCTGATGAACCTGCAATAACGCCATGGTGTGAAGGGCAGAGGCCGCCTCCCCACAAGCTCTGTAAGCACTGCCGTAGGACATAGTTGCATGGCCACAGACTGCTCCACCGAGGGAATGCCTGTGTACCCTAAAGCTGCCCCGCCATCGAGGGTGGTGAGGGAGGAGGAGCTGCACGTTTTGTTTCTGGCTGTAAAAGGTGTCTTCCACGATCTCGTGAGCTCCTCATGCACTTCTGGGAAGAATGACACCAGAGGGGGGGTGCTGAAAACCCCCAGTGCGACCCCCACCGACGAACCACTCATCCAGCCTTGAAGGACCAGGACGCGGTGAAGGATTCCACATGAGCTTGACATTCTTGGTGGCCCAGGAATGCATAGCCGTCATCTCTGGGTCTGACTCGGGCAATGCCACTCTCCCCGAAGGGGGCAACGCAGCCGAGTCGTCATCCCAGGAGAGAGAGAGCTCACCCTCCGATGCAGCGATCGACATCTAGTCATCAGGGGGAGCACCAAAAGATACGGGCGGTACACTCTGTCCTTCAGAGGGCCCAGCGCGCACCTCTGGCAGCTCCACTGGCTGCGGAGCGCTTGAGGGGTGAGGAACTTCCTCTGGAGAAGCCCTCACCGTGATCCTTAAATCACCTCTGACTCCACAGGAAGCAGCGACGCCCCGGGTGCCGCACACTCCTGGTGTGGCTATCTACACGAAGGATGATTTTCTTCCCCTGTGAGACCGTGACCACCACTGCTGATTGCCGTAACGCCCGCACTCGTCAATCACTCGAAGAGGGAGAGCAGTAGTGATACACCACCGCTCGACTCCGAAGCCAAAAGATGAATGAATGCGGTGCACCTGCTGTCTCTTATACCCATGCTGCGGGGTGTGGCAGCCAGATGCGATTCCGCATGCCAATGTCCATTGGCTCGTTTAGTTACACTCGAAGTGGATTGTTCTGTCTGGCGAGATCCCAATTTGTCGGTCATGACGTGACGTCGAGAGTGACCGACTGAAAGGGAACTGGAAAGGGGAAGTACAGAAAGTGTTCACACATAAAACAGAATTAATTTTCTACTAGCAAGTAGAAATACATTATATTGATATTCCATCTCAGCAGTCAGGTGTTGCGTGTTTGTGCACAGGGTCCAATAAACCACATTCCTGTGCCAGTGCTTAAAGCCTGCTGCAGTCTAGAGCCATGTTAACAGCACGGCTCCAATGTTTATTCAGAGCTGCCATTTGGGTGGGTGTCTGTGCTCTCTCTCTCCAACAGAGCCGTATTTGATTCCGTCAGTGATCCAGACTGACCCTCTCAGTATCAGTTTTCTGACTGGGGACTCTGTAGTCATGTTTTCACACAGGTCCAGGTTGCAATACTCTTGCTCTCAACAATGTGACTTCCCCATTCTGTGTATTTGGTTCCCATAGCCTGAAATATTGTAGATATCAAGTGTGCAGATATAATAACGGCTGTTTTTAAAGGACTAGTGCCCCCAGAAATGAAAATTTGCTGAAAATTTACTTTGGGCCTTTCAAGATGTAGATGAGTTTGTTTCTTCATCAAAACAGATTTGGAGAGATGTAGCATTACATCACGTTAACCAATGGATCCTCTGCAGTGAATGGGTGCCATCAGTCCAAACAGCTGATAAAAACTTCACAATAATTTACAAGTAATCTACATGACTGAAGTCCATCAGTTAAAGGTGGGGTAAGCGATTTCTGGTAGCCAATGTTGACATTTGAAATCACCAGAACAAACACGCCCCTATCTCAAAAGGGTCTCTCCCCTATTTTGATAGCTCCGCCCCACACATACGTACGCAACCCAGGCAACGATTAGTTCTGTGAAACAAAGCAAAACCAATGTTACACTCTATCTACACCGGACGCGAGTGGTGCGGCGCGACAAAATACTATAGAACTCATTATAATCATGGTCTACACTGGATGCGGCACGACACGACAAATCCTCGACAGAAAACTGCTGCTGCGTTTTATTCATGACGTATTGACACAAATTTCAAATGATTTTCAACGGTCGCTTTGTCGCGTCCAGTGTACTAGACAGACTTTAGCTGTTGCGGAGCAGACACGGTGTTACTCACCTATCGAGAAGAAACAAAGCAACCTCGGCGTCCGATCGCAGGCCTTCCGCTCCTTGAGTTCTCTCGAGCGCTGGAAAGCTGATCCAATATGTACACGGGTCCTACTTCTTGCCGTATTGCCTTAAGCCTTCTTTTGTTCTGCAGACGTTTTCCTCTTTTGTTTTTTATCTGCCATCTCTATCTTTCTGTCGCTCGGCTCAGCTAATGTCTGTCCTGTGCACTGAAAGCTCTCTCCTCCACATCATGAGTAGACACGCCCCTTACTGCTGATTGGCTACAAGTTTGTTTTGCTAGTCGGCCCAAATCAGTTTTCTAAAGCGTTTTTGAAAAATCGCTTACCCCACCTTTAATGTCTTGTGCAGCAAAAAAATATCTGTGTTTGTATTTAACAAATCCATCATGAGATGCTTTTAACTTCATTTTTTTAACTCCATTTCTTTTGGTAAAATACAAGTTCTCTTTACATAATATTGCTTTTTCCAGTGAAAAAGTTGTATGTACAAATGAAGCACTGTTTAAAGGCAAAAACAACCCAAAACAGTTCTAAAAAAATATGTCAGCGGTTTTTGAGTGGACAACAAAAGATGGACTTTTTCACTGGAGGAAGTGTTATTGCGGATTTTGGACTAAAGTTAAAAGCTTAAAATGTCTTGATGGATTTATTTCTTACAAATGTAGAATACCAAGGGAAATATCATATATTATTGCCTTTTCAGTTCTCAGGAGATTTAATAATGCATCGTCTGTTTTTAGATGCTTTTTAGAATTCCTTGGCAAAAAAAATAAAAAAATAAACCCAGAAACACCACATTAGACAGTTCACATACAGTATGAGTATTGAGCATATAGGACTATAAAATGGATGTCGATGAAATTTAATGAGAAATGGCAACAATTACTCATTACAAAAAGTAACTACAGTATTAGCGTTCTTCTATGGAAAGCAGCATGTTAATTTTCTTTTGCATTTTTCTCATACAGTTGTCAATGACTTTCTTTCCTCTTGAGTAAAAGTGATATGCTCAACCTGATCTTGATCAATCAATCAATCAGTAGAAACGTCAATAGAAAGATATATTGGTAACACTTTACAATAAGGTTCCATTTGTTAACTATGGCATGAACTAACCATGAAAAAAATATTTTGAGCACATTGGGTCTGTTAAAAGGATTTTACAGCTAATGTCTTATGTTGGAAGCAACTTGAGCTTGAGCTGAAATTGTTCTTTAACATAGTAGCTATTCATAAAATATGTATTAGTGAAGCTCTGCTTTCTATTTTATAGCTACAAACTGCTGCATGTTAGTGCGTGGCTGACGCTGCTAGATGTGGAAAGGTCACAAGCGACAGTCAAGCACAAAGGTCAATCAAAGTGACATTGAAACGCAAACAAAAAACGAGGCTCATGCACAATGGGAGTGTTATGTAAGGATATTGTTTGCATGGAACATTGTTTTCCCTCAGTATAATATTCTCCTTTTTGCAAATCATTTGCAAATCACCATCCCACAGCAGCAGTCTTTGAGTTAAAGGGTTAGTTCACCCAAAATAAAAATTCTGTCATTAATTACTCACCCTCATGTCATTACAAACCTGTAAGACCTTCGTTCATCTTCGGAACACAAATTAAGATATTTTTGATTAAATGTGAGTCTTATATATATATATTTTATCTAGGGATGGTTACCACTTCATTAGATTGTCACACATATTACCTACTAGAGGTGTCAGTGAAGTTTCTGAGTTAAAGGGTTAATTCACCCAAAATAAAAATTCTGTCATTAATTACTCACCCTCATGTCATTACAAACCTGTAAGACCTTCGTTCATCTTCGGAACACAAATTAAGATATTTTTGATTAAATGTGAGTCTTATATATATATATATTTTATCTAGGGATGGTTACCACTTCATTAGATTGTCACACATATTACCTACTAGAGGTGTCAGTGAAGTTTCTGAAAAAAAAATACAGATTGTTTTAGATTTTTTATTTTATTTTATTTAGAATGGGGAGAACATACAATTTACAAGAACGCAGTTGTCACCACACTAAATTTATTTTTTAAGAGTTTTTAAAACATATCACAACTTTGCCTTGAAATTACCACTATGTGATTCCCTAGTTGCATATATAGGGAGTTTAAAGGGCAAAAAGTTACACAAGAAACAAGCTGTGTTGAATTTCCAAAATGATCTATTTCATCGTCAAATAGAAACTAGAGAAATGCAGAACGATAGAAATAGAGAGGTGTGAAAGTTATGCCCCTGAAGCCACGAACCAGCCATCAGTAGCGCTGGGGAGAGAACGAGAAAGAAACATGAGCGCACACACACACACACACGCACGCACGCACACACACACACACACACACACACAAGCTTATGTGATTTGTTATTTTGTTGGTTTGACATTTTTAGAAAGTGTATTAAGAAACAGTGTAATGTTTTTAAGTGAACTTAAGTGGTCTTTTATTTCATTATTATTATATTATAAGCAAGGACAGTTAAGTAAAATTATACTTTTAAGATTTGAATATTTCAATAGAGTTAAGCACAATTCTTTTTCACAAGGGTTTGCTTAATAAAAGAACACCAGTGATGGCATTTTTTCATGAACTGTCGTGTTATTAAGCAAAATTGCTGAATGTAAACGCGTTCAGTGTCATTTTCCTTCTGTAGCCTCTGTTCTCTGACACGTTTCATTATCAGGGGAATGCCAACCATCTCTTTCTTTGACCCTCACAGAGTCCCCGCTGAAAGGAGATGACAATCAGCTAGATCGATCTTTTTCAGACTCGTCCTTGTTCAACCACTGGGGCCAGGATATGGGGCCAGAGAGCCGCAGAGTGGCCCTCAAGATGTTTCAATATTACGGCTACAATGGTTACCTCAGCGACCGCCTCTCAATGGACAGACCCATCCCAGACTACAGACCTGAAGGGTGAGTGTCTGACAGTCTGTCTGTCCTTTACTCACTGTCACAGTGAATGCCTGCGTGAACTAATGTGATTGCTGAGCACAAATCAATGTTTGCAGTCAGCAGATGCCCTGTGTTCATTTCTCACTGAAATATGATGGTAATATGATAGTATTTTGATATATACCCATGGCGTTTTCTCGGAGGAGGCAAACAAGAGCAGTGTGTTCTCAAAAACAAATTTGGATGAGAGGATTATTGCCTTCTTTTTGCTTCCTCAGGTCCACCACACCCCTCCAATATGCACTGATATTAATATATATATTACTACATTTTTTTGCGTGTAGAAAGATGTGTCTTATGCTTGCCATGGCTACATTTATTTGATGAAAAATACAGTAAAAAAGTATAAAACATTGTGAAATAGTATTACAATTGAACTTTTTTCTGTTTAAAATGTAATTTATTGCAGATTTGGTGCTCAAGAATCATTTCTTATTATTATTATCAATGTTGAAAACAGTTTTTGCTGCTTAATATTTTGTGGAAAACATGATACACTACTGTTCAAAGGTTGGGATAAGTAAGATTAAAAAAAAAATGAAAAAAGAAATGAATACTTTCCAGCAAGGATGCATTGAATTGATCAAAAGTGACATCAAAGTAATTTCTAATGTTTTTTTGTTGTTATTTACTTTCTATTCATGAAAGAATCCTGAAAAAAAACAGCTTCCACAAAAGTATTAAGCAGTAAAAATTGTTTTCCACATTGATTATAAGAATATTATTAATAATTGAGCACCAATAATAATTAAGCATCAAATCAGCATATTAGAATGATTTCTGAAGGATCATGTGACACTGAAGACTGAAGAGTAATGATGCTGAAAATTGAGCATTATCATCACCAAAATAAATTACATTTTAAAATATATATCATTAGAAATTTAATTTTAAATTGTAAAAAAAAAAAGTCACAATATTATCGTTTTTTCTGTATTTTTGATCAAATAAATGAAGTATAACAAACATATTTCAAAACCATAACAAAATAATTATTCCACATTTTTGATCAGTAGTGTATAAAAATACTGCTGAAAATCAGAAGTAGTTTTTTTTTTACAGTCTGTTATGGGTTGAAAGCATGGCAACATATGGTTTACACAAACGACTCTGTTTTGACAGGCTTTGAAAGAGGTGTGTGTGGAAAAACATAATTACTTCATAGCCTGTAATTACTGGATGTGTCTAGCTGGCAGCAACATAAAGAACTCCTTCACATCTGATCACATCTGTTCTTTTCTCTCCATGAAGCCAAATTGCTATTGAGTACCTGGGTCTGAAAACCTTCAAAACCCACTTGTTATAAACTCCAGTCTGCCAAGAACATCAAAACATTACCTATCTTTGTAAAGACCACCATATTTACCAAAAAGGTCCTGTTTGTCTAATTGCCTTTTGTCTCTCATTAGTATTTCCAGTGATTTCCGTGTAAAGGAAACAGAATAGGGCCTGAAACTGAAGATGAAGTCATGATTAAATAAATGGTCAGCAAAGAAGTTGCCTAACCTTCTGAAAATGCTGATTGTAAACCTCAGGAGGTCAAACTAAATATTATATGAGCTTTTTTATTTATTATAAATTTTGCATGAAGTTTACAGTTTTGCAACTCTGTTACTAAAACTGTTTGGTTGCTAAAACTTTCTAAATACATCTTAAACCCTGATTTGTGTGATGTTCTTATTTTGGCAATAATTATTAAATAAGCAAAAACTAAATAGACAACATTTATAGAAAATTGTAAGAAGTATATACACCACTGGTCTACAGTTTGGAATAATTAAGATTTTTTTAATGTTTTGGAAATGCAGGGCTGCATTTATTTGATCAAAAATACATTACAAAACAGTAATATTGTGTATATTATTAAAATGTAAAGTAAATTATTTTCTAATTGTATATACAATACTTGTCAAAAGTTTGGAAACGTTACGGTTTTTCAATGTTTTTAATGAAGTCTCTTCTGCAATAAGGCTGCATTTATGTGCTAAAAAATACAGTAAAAACAGTAATATTTTGAAATAGTGTTGCTATTTAAAATAACTGTTTTCTATTGTAATACATTTTAAAATGAAATGTATTTCTGTGATGGCAAAGCTGATTTTTCAGCATCATTACTCCAGTCTTCAGTGTCACATGATCCTTCAGAAATCATTCTAATATGCTGATTTGCAGATCAATTATTGTAAATTGCTATCAAATATTAACAGTGATTCATATTATTATCGGTTTTGAAAACATATTATTTTTCAGAATTCTTTGAAGAGTAGAAAGATCAAATAAACAGCATTTATTTGAAAAAAAAAATAATATTTGAGATTATAAATGTATTTACTTTTGATTCACTTTTGATCAATTGAATGCATCATTGCTATATAAATATATTATTAGTATTTTACATTTAAATGCATATCCAAAAATATTAAGCAGAAAAAAAAAATTCAGTACTAATAGTATCATATATTTGAATTATTGATATTTTTTCTTAAAGTCACTTGAATAACAGGTCTGAATATTTAAGCATTATAAAATGCAATTAGATTATTTAACTGAATTTGCATTCAGCAGATTTTTTTAAAATACTGATTATGAAAAAAAACTCTGAGACCTCTAAGGTGGGACATCAACATTGTAAGCTGATGTGTTTAAAACTAGTTATGTTGCATGCTTGATTAATTTTAGTAATACTTTAACACAATCTTACATGGGATTTGTGTTTTAGAAATTAAAAGGACATCAATTTGTACCCAATTCTTGGAAATGCCTCGACACATTAACATTTGTGCTCCTTTGTTTCATCTGTTCCTGCAGGTGCAAAAACATGTCTTACCCGTCCAACCTTCCGCAGGTTAGTATAGTCTTTATCTTTGTGAACGAGGCGCTCTCAGTCATTGTGCGCTCCATCCATTCGGCCATGAACAGAACCCCGCGCCACCTGCTCAAAGAGATCATACTGGTAGATGACAACAGCAATAACGGTAGGTTTACACAAAGCACAAAACACTTAACATGTTTGTCAATTGTGTAATGTTTGTCTCACAAGGTCTAAGTAGTGAGTGCCATTAATGTGAAGCATTGGCCGAACTATTTCCTGTGAGACTGGAACAAAGCAGCGGCAACCTCATGCATTTCTTTTTAGTGCTCTCTTGTGTTTTACTAGCTAGTTCTCAGTGTGAGGCTTATAGTCTTAATAATTGCCGCTGTTTGGCTTCTCAACATTCTGTCTTCAATCTAACCCTTCCGTCTGCTTAATTAGCCGCTCTGCTCATTGGATTAAAGTGACTAGTGATAGAATACTAATCAGCTGCAAACTGAGAAATATTTAGCCCGGAAAGATTAAACCTAAGAAACGTGATGAATTACTCTGTTTCTCCAACATCATGCACCTCATGTTCTGGACTATTGTTGCATGTAGCGGGTTTGTCTGCTGGCCTTTTTGCTCATTATTACTTTAATTTCCACCAATTTGGTGCTGCAGTAAGAGCGTTAATTGACAGGCTGATGAATATAGCTCCCATTATATTTAACATTAATCAAAAAATAATAATACAACGAAAGGTTGGGCTGGTAAATTAAACTGCATTTTGGCTATTTTGTGATTATTGCATTCATTATCAAATTGTCAACGTTGAAAAAAACACCTTTTTTGCGGTTTCATTTTTTTTCTGAATCATTATGTGTTAATATTGTGTGAAACAAGTGTTAATTTAATTTTAGTATTCCGTACATGCAACTTCCCAATTTATTAATACATTTATTATTATATTACATTTAATATTTTAAAATTATATTGACCTTATCTTCTAGAAAATTCTGCCATAATTTACTCAAGTTTTAACCCAAATCTTTATTTTATTTTTTAAAGATATTTTAAAGAATGTTGGTAACCAAACAGTTGCCGGTAATCATTGACTTACATAGTTTTTTTATTTTTATTTTATATATATATATATATATATATATATATTATGGAAGTAATACTTTTAATGTGCACATACAATTAAGCACACTTCTTTTTCAATAGCTTTCACAGGATACCAACAATTACAATGGTTAACATAGATAAATCTACCTAAACATTTCATTTTGAAAAATACCACAAAACCCTTAGCTTCACAGAATCATCTGCAAAGATGTTAAAACAGCTGTACAGAAATGTCATGGTTGTGCATAGATAAATGCTGCTGAGTCACGCTAAGTTTCGGCTAGATTTCTAGATTTTGCTAGATAATATTTTTTTTTTTAAATTAATCTGTCATCCTAAACATCTTTTTCTTCTCCCCCCTCCCCCCACCCAAACAAAACCCCACAAACCAAAACATGGTGTCTTTGACATTTTACTAGTGTCGTGTCATCCTGTATGTCAGGGCATAGTGCGTCAGCCGACGCTGATTTACTTTTGTCATTATGGTTAGAATTGGTCATATGAATTGGTAATACCAATATAGAATTGATAGTCTTATCAACGCTAGCTGTTGTCACCCCTACAGCTCTATGGAAGCTGCCAGGTCCTTTCAATTGTGATTATTATCTCTCGACATCTCTCCCTAATGTGAGAGCCACTTCTGGGTTCAGCTTACACTCTATTCTACTGCGGCAGACACCATGACCGACATGAAGAGAAAGAGGGTAAAGTGACCCAGATGATTCCTCACTAATTGTACCATTTTGAGGACCAGCAGCCCGCTCTCTCAGCTGGCATAATCTTGTGAGTCCTGACAGCTTTATCTTTACATTCATAGATGAAGGTTGTGAAGCGGCCACTCAACATGAGACTTTATGTCAACAGTGGGACCGACAGAGAATCTGTCAACCTTCAGTGAAGGCCAAAGAAAATTAAATCCCGCTCTCCTCAAAACCCGAGAATGAGCTGACAAAAATTCTTTGCCTCTGCAGTGGACAAATGATGAATAACCACCTTATCATCAGAGAGAGAGATGACTTACACTGCAAAAAATTATTTCCTTGCTTAGCATTTTAGTCAGTAAAAATATCTAAACATTTTTCAAAATAAAATTACTTGAGCAGAAAAATGCTTAATTTAGACTTACTTTCAGAAAATATATCTTCAGTTAAGTTAAATCACCAAAAAAAAAAAAAAACCTTAAATGCAGAATTCCATGCAATAATAAGACTTCTTTTCAGATAATAAATACTGAACAGTTGCTGAAAATTATTCACCCTCAGGCCATCCAAAATATAGATGAATTTGTTTCTTGATCGGAACAGATTTGGAGAAATTAAGCATTACATCGCTTGCTCACCAGTTAATCCTCTGCAGTGAATGGGTGCCGTCAGAATCAGAGTTTAAACATGGAGCCGAAAGAACTGCCACAGTACTTTCTGTAGGGCTGTCTTGGCTGGCCATCGTTAGTTTTGAGCTGTTAGAAGGAGTGATGAATTGATTTCATGAATGTTGTATTATATTGGTTGAGAGCTTCACATTCAGTTCAATACAGCTTAGCTGTCCCAGCTCCTGGAGTCCATATTGACGTACACAAAGATTGAATTATTCTCTTTCTATGGCCAGGGACAATAAGGACACCTTCCAGCAGGTAAACCAGGTTTCCTCACAGAATCTGAGAAAAGATTGACGTTTTTATGTTCTTAACACACTTATTCCCTGTTAAATGCACTTTGTAATGTCAAAATGTACAAAGTTTTACTTTAAAGTATATTTTAAAAGAAGTACACTTATTTAATGTGTTGGCTGACATACTAAAGCAAGTTTAGATTTTTTACTTCATCATTACAAATGTATAAAATATAAAATACCAATAAAATTTCAATACATGGCATACTCGTTTCAACAAAAAGTTTACCATAAATGCTTGTCAGTACATTCAGCAGTACACTTGAAACATATTTTAAAGACAATAAAAGTAATTATGAAATTAGATGTACTTAAGCCCAGAGTGAGTTAAACACTCTCTAAAATTTAGCTAATTACATTTAATATTAATTTAAACTATAATACACTTTCATTTAATTGCGGTTTGCATGCGGTTAAGTGTCTGTAAACATGACACTCGGTTCACACTTAAAATATTATTTTAAAGTATATTGTTTCAATAATAAGTGCTCTTTTTTTAAAAGTATGCTAAAGTGTACTTCGTTTTTACAAGGGAATAGATAGATCCTGCAAAATATGGATGCTAGTTTAAGTCAGTTTAACATCAAGGACTTAATTAAAATGTCTCAAAAGCTTTGACACCCAGTAAGATTGCTTAGAGACCTTCAGCATAATATTATCATATTATAATAGCATGCAGTGGTAGGATCAGTCAAGCTTAATGTTTTGTATTGACTGAATCAAGAAGTGCACTTGAGATAATGGTGATGAAAGATTGATGCTTTCAGTCATGAGCAGCTCTGAGATAATGGACCTGTTATCATTTGTTTTATTATGATAGGATCTTCACCAGTTCTTCCAATCAATTGCTATTTGTTCATGTATGTTAATCGGTCATTTTCAACGGAGATGAAAGTTCTGCTCTAATAAGCTTTGAAGAAAGTTTTTGGTGAGGTTGAGGATAGAGGGATTTTCGCTGTCAAATAAAATCAGAAGACAGATTTCATTTAGTGTCTCCCGGTTCAATCATAAAACTCATATTTGCAGGCGGGGGTAAAGCATTAGAGCAATTTGTAGAGCCACAAGCTGTTCATATCCAATGTTCTCTGGCTTTTGAAAGAGACATTCTCTTCACGTTCACTCGTGCAATTCCACAATCTCAGGGATCGATGAGAGACGCCGTTCGCTCAAGGATAAACTCTGTTGGCACGAGCCTGGCTGAGCACAACATCCCACTCAAGGGCCAGGTGAATTACATTGTGGCTATATGAAAAGTGACCTTTAGCTTCTGTCATACCTGTGGCCAGTGTCAGGATCTTTAAGGGCAAGGAAATAGAGCAAAACAACTGTCGAATAACAATCGCTGTGATTGGCCGATATTACAAGTGCCTACACTGGAAACATTCTGTACGAAGAATATTCTTACATACCATCATCTCTTTCTATCAGAGATTTTATTCTTTCACATACACTGAATTTTTTGTTAATGAACTATTATTGTAGTATGTTTTACAAGTCTTTGTTTGTCCGGTCTACTTAGTCTGTGTTTGCCCTATTGTGGAATATTAAAGACTATTTGCATCTATCTTCGCCTTCTTCATGCGTGTATCTCACCATAGCGTGACAGGCATATGAGTGCCTGTACTGTATATTTTATAACTGAAAACTGTATATTTCACTAGCCGATTTAATGTTACTATACCCGTAAGTTATAAAGTAATTAATAATTTCTACTTGCATAATTTTACAGCAAGCCATAATTTTTTACCGTATTTTACTATATGATGTAATTTAAAACATTCACATTTCTTCACCATATATAGAAAGATACTGTAACTTACAGTACAGTTAATCAATTAACAGGTTTTACTGTTTTCTGTAAAAAAAAAAATCATAGGGCTTTATACGGGCTTTAGGTCTGATTGTCAGGGGAAAACATACACTGGGGCGTGTAAAATCTCTCAAAAATTGCTAGTACATTTTGCAAATAATTACAAAGAAACAGCAAGTAACACATTGAATTTAAACAGAGTTTAAAGAATAAAAAGACTGAAATAGTATTTTCTTGTAAAACATTCATTAATCCAACAATCTTTATTTCGAAAAATTATTTTTACAGTGTAATATTCATAATAGTACCTGGTTTGCAACTCAGATGGTGCCAAATAGACATAGCAGGATTGACTGTGGATGGAAAACATACACTGGAAAAAAAAATACTTTGAGTACTCACTAGTGAAGGGTACGGTGGCTGAGAAGTGCAGAACAAATCACAATTCTGAAAACAAAATAACAAATTACAAACGCAAATGCAAGTCTAAAAAACAAAATAACAATTCAGAAAACATTATAACAAGTCAGAAAACACAATGACAAATCAGACAAACCGGAAAAGGTAGGTATAGTTTGAGACAGTGCCATTGGTTTGGGATTACTCACCGCTGACTGGACGAGACATCTGTCAATCAACGTATACAGGAAGAACCAGCCGAAGAAAAGTCGTGGTAGAAAGTTCGGAGATGGTATTAAGGTAGCTCAGTTTAAATGTATTATATGAATTGCCCTTACTCTGGAATAAAAAATACGGGGGTAAAATAATCAGCTCCAGTGGTGCAGATGGATAAGTGCGTGCCCTTGGCTTTTTGACGCGATCGACCCGGGTTTGATCCCGTCTTTTGCTGAACTTTTTTTCCCTCCCTTTTTAAAGCTGTAACAACAATACTGTGATACAGAGAAACCGTGATATTTTTTGCTTAAGGTTATCATACCATCAAAATCTCATAC